CCGTCAAATTAACACAGATTAATCTGGGTTTCCCGGCATGAGGCTTGGGTGGTTGGCGAAAGAGGCACACGATGCTCATTGGGTGAACTTTTATACTCACTTATGTACACAATGCAGTCCAGTGACAAAGCTCTCCCTCTGTGAAATTGCTGTCGCTTCTTGTACACTGGTGCAGACAACTGTCAGCGTAGTGTGATTACCTGTCCCCTTTTCTTTTGTCGATGTCGATACTTGGGCTCAAGGTGGTTCCCAGATCCTGAAATGGTGACCGCACCGTTTGTTGTTGTTTTCATCGATGTAATGTTGGCGCGTGTCGCCTGCATTAAATGGGTTCTGGTTTTGCGACAATATTTGGGTTCCTCGTTGATTTTGGCATCAAACGGTAACATGCATGTTAAAAGTCGCCCGAGAAGTTTTCGAAAGTCATCCCATCCCGCAGATTCACAACACCAAACCGTGGCTTTGAAAACACGGATTACACATAGTATCCGGATGGGCTAGAAACTGAGATAAAACTTTTAGTCGGTGAGTTGAGAAGGGGAACTGGGTTCAGTTCAGTCAACTTTTACAACTAGTGATACTGATGTGAAAGAAAATACAGAACACCGAAACAGAAAGCATCCCAGATGTATTCATGGTCATTTTTACGACCACATGCATGCACTAACTCGGTTATTGCGTCATGTAGATTATGTCCTCAACTGGAGAAAATGATTGTGGGAAGCTGCCAGGCTGGGATCTTATCTGCTCGAGAGCCGTTCGTTTTTATCGCTCCGGAAAACGGTTTCTAATGGTTTTCATCTTTTTTTCTATTCTCTATCTATTCTCTCTATCGTTCCCCTTTACCTCCAATACACGCTAGTCTCATTGCTGTGTTCATACATGTATGTATATCTTCATAAAGATTCACTTTATCACTTTCAAATAATAGCCACCTTTTAACATTGGCTTTTCGTCATTGTGTTCCACCGCTCAGTTTAAGACCGGGATGGGTGCATTGAACAATAATTCTGACAACTTCCTTTCTCTTCCATATCGTATGTTGTCGTTTTGCTATCATCCTTAATCTGTTGCCGCTCTAACCCTTTGACGAAAAACGAATTTGAGACACTTATGTTGTCAACGAGGTTTTTATAACCTGACCTTTAACTCTCCTGTTCTGAAAGTGCCCTTTGCTTTCTTGCAGATGCGGGTAATACACAGTTATGCGAATCAACTCCGGTTCTGTCTCCCAGCGCTGCATCTTTGCTTTCAGCTGAAGTTACCGAGACAACCACGCAGGCGTTAAAAACCACTACCGAAAGGGAGCTGCTTGCCCCAACCAAACCAGACTCGGATGCTTCGAAGCGCTCCACACCAGTGATTCGATCTCATTCGCTTTCGGCCCGTGCATTGCCGGAAGCTCTTCGCATGGGTCTGAGTTCTTCTCGGGTTGATCCCACGATGCTTAGTCGTTTGTTGGATTGGCGTACACGACCCGCTCCCGTCGCTCCGACTACTCCAGGCACGACGCATACTCAACCGCCAGCTGCACCATCGTCTTCCAAATCACCACTGTTTCCTCGTGTTACTTATCCTGGTTCATCCGGACTGACTACTGGTGATGCCAGTTCGGTTGGTGCTGTGTTTGATCTGTCTACTGTGTTCCGGTCCCAAGTCGTCCAGCCATCGTTAGTAGCTGATATTGCCACAGTACGAGCCATTCGCGGTGTAAAAACGGATATCGGTTTGGCCCGTGCTTTTGTACGTTTGGCATTGGAGAAAAAGTTACTGTCGGCTCATCTTACGCGTTTGCTAATGGATGTGAAATTGTTGAGGTAAGTGATCTTATCACTTCAGGGTTTGAGCTTCTGAACTCCATCTGTTTGTTAACTTCCGACCATGTGAACACAGCAAAAAAGATCAAATATGTCTTTAAATGCCCTGCCTCACTTGAAGCACGAACTCAATTGTGTATTGAGTAAATGGTTTGTTCGAATAAAAGCGTGTGAGTAATAGACTAATCATCGAGTCGTGATTCCACGCGCATTACCACCTGTCTTACTCGTTTCGACTAAGTGGTGAACTCGCTTCAGAGCTGACCTGCTCAGTAACTCAATGGTTCATGTCGCTGTACAGTCCTTCCTCGCTGGGTGCAATCTGCATAATGCGCATTTGGAAAATTTGGCATCCTCATTCCCACAAGTTATGGTGATTTGTTGCGTTTAACTTTGTTACTTTCTGTTTTGCGCTACACTGTGTAGTATGAGTAGGATCACCGATTTCACGTAAACTGTACTTTGTATTCAGGTGAGCACATAAAGAGTGTGTTTTATCACCATTTGCGCACCGTTGATAGATATTTTCCTTAGCCTGTAACCGAGCAATTTTTCGTCGTCTCTGCGTATCGAATCAACACGTACGTGGGCAGAATTCACACTGCTGTAAAAAGGGTACATGGTGTATTGGCTACCGTTGGTGGCTTCAACCCTCTTTGTGATAATTGTTGGGTAAGGATTTTGGTGAAACGAGCATCGATTCAAATTTGCTTTTTACCTAGGCGATGTGTATTGCAGTATTCTCTACGGTGCAGATAAACTTCTACCCAAGAGTGCTTGTTTAAAACAGACATGGACCGTGTTCGTTTGGATGATCCATTTTGTTTTAGTCGGAAAGCATCATAGTGTTCATTGCAGTCTTGCTCTCTTGTGTTTTTTTCAGTTTCTCTTTGTACAACCTTGGATGCTGTTATAGCGGAGTGAATTGTTCCCTCCCCTCCAATTATCACGTGCAACTATCTCGATATCACCAACACCTTGGAGGTCACAGTATGCTGTGTGCACCCCAATCAAATGAATTGTCAGCACGCTTGACAAGATGCAGCTTACTTTAAAAGCATAATAATGACATACAAACTTAGGAGGTATCTTCAGTCTTTCACACTCTTTTATCCTTTACTGTAAACCTGTGTCCAGAATGACCTCAGTCAAGTACCTAGTTGTTAATATCGACAGCAATCTTCATTTACAGTTGTATGGGAAAACTGGGACGGCTGTTTTTTCAATTACGCAAACTCAGACAATACCGAACCTCACAGTCAGTTCTGTCCCCTTTCGTTCACCAATCCGTTTTCCCCATTCTACGCTATTGCTCCCCTGTAGTGTTTCCTGGCCTTTTAAGACGAGACTTCATGCGTCGTGGTTTGATGATAATCAGTCGTTCATCATTAATCTTATTCATTCAATAACCACAAAACTTATTAACGGTTACATCAACTCTTGTTGCAAAGTGATGCTGCAAGACTGGGTGTCGCTGAGTTCTGTTCTGAAACTAGATAGTCAGGAATTAGCTGAATTTGACTGCTTCTCGTACTTAGGTAGCTGCGTGACCGACGACGGTAGGGCATCAATGGAGATAACCGCCCGTATCTCCAAGGCTAGAGCAACGTACGCAGGACTAAAACACCTGTGTCGACGAGGTGACGTTTTAGTGAAGTTGAAAAGTCGCGTTTACTGCGCCACTGTACGATCAGTTCTATTTCACGGTTGTGAGACCTTGAATTTGCGGGTAGAAGACATCCGTCGTTTAGCAGTGTTCGACAATCGATGCGCACGTAGTCTGGTCTAAATGGAATGGAGTGAGCGATTTAGTAATTTAGATATCGGATGTTTGGTAATGCATCGAATCCAGTTCAATAGGCTCCGTCGGTTGGGACACGTTTTGCATATGTCCGACGGCCGCCTACTGCAGTGAGCTTTGTTCGCAGTTGCTGTTGCAGGTTGGAGGAAGTCACGTGGAGGCCAGCAGATGACGTGGAGACGAGGTATGAAGAAATGCACAGAGCGATCAGATGGAGTAGGTGTCTCTTGTCTTCCGGGTTGGGGTCCAAAAGACTCCGTTACCGGATGGTTGCAGATACTGAAGGTCAATGCTGCGAACAGACAGCAATGGCGATCTTGCTGTCACTTCTTATCAGACCAGAATACTTGAAGCAGTATGTATGCACGGTTGGACTGTGTACTCTGTGTGTTGACCATATCATCATCATCATCATACGAGATACAGTGCAGCGAACTTCACTGATCGCTGCCAAGCTCACAGTACACAAATCAAGTGATAAAGCACAAGAAATAGAGGGATTGGGTCTAATTGGAGGGAGGCGAAGAAAAAGAACTCCTATGGTCAACACAGAGTACACAGACTAAGTGTGCATACGTCCCTTTTCAAACATTCTGACCTGATAATAAATGACCATAGAGGTTCGCTTTCTTTTCCCGTTCCTGAAAGTAAGTCCAATCCCTATCGTGCTTACACATAACGAAAATAGAATAGCAACTTGAATGACGTCCGAGGTAATCGGAACAAAGGAAAAACGCTTGGAAACACAAAGTGAATTTCATCCTCCCCGAGATATAATCCGATAAATGTCCAGCATTCCGGAACTCTCTCAGCAAACATGCGGGAATTAAGCATTTAAGTCACATTTTCTATAAGTTGTTTTTTTTGAAGCTACAAGGTAAACTTGTAACGCGTGTTTCAGTTCACATCTTCAAGTAGTTATCAGCCCTTACATGCGATGGAATGTTTGTGATAACTGACAAATAGCACTAAACAGCTGTTTCGTCCTGTTTGGGGCACGTCGGCAGTGCGTACTTTTTGTGTCTCTGTCAGGACTCGAACCGCGAACTTTCGGGTTGGGACTTCAAACCCTTACCCCTGATGCAACACGGTCGACGGTCATCACCTTGTGCGGATGGCTCAATCAGTTTTACGGTAGTAAGCTTGGATTAGCCCATTCACATTTGGAATCCTGCACGCGCGACCCTCGTCCAATTTTGAACAGCGGACGCTGATTTGTGATACGCAAACTCACTTAATGTTACGTAACTCATCTTGTAGCCATCCTCCTAGGCTCGTGTAACACAGGTCGTTCGCATCTTTGAAGGTGATTAGCGTGACATCTGTTTTCAAGGTAGCATATAATTATAAAACACCTTTTTCATTATTTTCACTTAGGAAGCTCGACTGATTTGCTTCCTAACTGTGTGCTGTTTTTTATTCTCTAGGCGGTTATATTCTCGCTATGCGTTTCTGAGATGTGAAGAAGAGCGGGAACAGTTCCTGGTGCACTTACTATCGCTAAATGCAGTGGACTATTACTCGTTTACTCGCATGCTACCTCAAGCTGATTTGATCTACCAGGTATTCATTTGTACCAGTCGTAAACATGGATTCGCGACTACAGCGAATATGTGGATTCGTTTACACGGTCATCTGGGGTCCACCCGACCGATTGCGTTGCCTCGTGGACGGAATTTAATCACTATCCGGGTAAGTGGACCACTTTTAGTTTGTAAATGCGGATAGATGGCTTGAAGCTGTATGCTTACCATTGTTGATATAGTTCGGTTTTCCATACTTCGTCACTGTCATACTTATCTCTCGATTGTTGAGTCTTGTTTACTATGATCCTGAACACACCTTCTCTCCTCATCAGAATACAAATCTGGGTCTCCTTTCTGTCCTCCAAATCGGTCATGATAACGCTGGACCAACTCCGAAGCTTTTCGTGGAGTTTATACTCATTTACAGTGCAGTCACCAGTCACATGTATATGTAAGTTCAGCCGTAGAATATTTTCTATATTCTTCTCACTTTCTCTTCTATGATGGATGCATCGCGTGAGTTACAATAAGGTTACATAACGTGCGTTTGTAGTGGATGCTCTTCAATTGGGCACGATCACTTCTTAGATACAAAGTTCTGTTATTTTAGTTACTTGTGTTCTAATGATTGCGATCTGGTTCCCCAATCGCAGACACGCACCTGTTTCTGCCGACCATATGCGTTTTTTCAGTACCTAATTTTTCATCAAAGTTTATCGCTTGTTTCACATGGAACGATATCCATGAAGTGAACCCGTACTTACACGGTCATCCGATTGGATAGACTAAATGCTTGAAAATTTACCTACCCGGTTCTTATTTGTGGCGAAAGTGTATGTATATTCCACATAACCTGAATAGGAAGTTTTCCGAAATAGTTGTGGGTTGTCACCAAATTCAATCTGAAACTTTCTGTTTTGCGGTACCCCGGTTTATGTGCCTTCACGTTTTACGTGGTTGCTTCGTGATCCTAGCCTACGAGATAACACCAACCACTGTGCGACGAGTTACCTTTTCTGGGCAACGAACCACAGGCCAATAGTACCAACCTAACGTAATCTGTGCGGCCCAAGGGGAGGTTGTATGATATCAAAAATGCAAGCGGGCCATTGGCGAAGACCTGCTTAACCAATGACGTTTGCTTGCATATATTTCTTAATCTTATTGATTTTCCTCAACAAGCTAACCGCTAATTCTGTGACCTTTGTCCTGCGTACGATTCCTAGTCCAATTTCGTGCTTCATTTGCGACCGTAATTTGCGTTCCGTAATCCGTAACTACTTCGAATACTATAGATTGATTCCAGCTGTGTCAAACAGTACGTTGTGTTTTGGGGTCACGATCCGATGGCTCCATCGTTTTTGTTTTCTTATACTTATCATTATGTTTATATTTAATGTTATATCTCGTTTCACTATCAACCCCCTTCTTGTAGGGGGTTCTTTCTCAATCTAATTAACATCTATACTTTTCTCTGCTACTCTTTCCAGATTTCCTTGCTGTCGCTGGATCGGTCGGGGCATTGAGGATGACGCGTTGGAACGCATCCTGGTCGGTCATTTAGTTCGTTTAGCCCCCAATGATCCGAGTAAGCTGTCCTATGCATTTGATGAAACTGCCTTCATATGGTAAAGTGGATACTCTTTACTGTCTCTCTGTCAGACATTTCGATAGATCTTCGGATTGAAT